TGTTCGTACCCCTAAGTTCTAGCATTAAATTTGTATCTCAAAAAGAGTCCACACTACGGTTCTTCATTTTTATACTCGGTTATACCTTAGGCTTGAATCAACCCTAACAGAAGTCATTCAGGTGTCTCTTTCTTTTTCTTGGGGGGCGACATGATGAATATTATTGATCAATCAATTATCCAAGATAAAATTGGTAAAATAGTTGTTTTTTTTTTAATAGGACAGTTTGAAGTGAAGTACATGTAAATAGTTAATATTTGTTTGGAATACAATTACTGCAAAATCGTGTACAGCATCTTTGATAAAATACTGAACTGAATATTTTGGTATTTCGAACGTTTCTAATAGAAATCTAGATTCTCAAAATACCACTCTATCTCAAAGCTAGATTACCAGCACAGTAGAGACCATCACCTCATAGTTAACGGCAACACCATAAGCTGATCAGATTGTTCGGCTATTAATAAAATGAAAAGAACGTGGCTATAGATAGCCGCAGTCTGTCCATCGATGATATTTCGTCCATCATCTTGATCGCCAGACGGCACAAATGCGCGCACTTATAATATCGAAATAAGAAACTCAATGCAAATATGACACACTTCGTGTCGTTACGGGCTATTGTTAGCTAACCCCTGTAATCATCTTTTCCTGGTAGAGATCATGTTTCGTTGCTCCTTAATCACACGTGTAAGTATTTACACACACACAAGGTAAACACTGTAAAAAAGAACAGAACAGAGAGAAAAAAAAAAGAGCAGAAAGTTTGCAGCGTACGAAATTTTTATTACACAATTATCATTATCATTAATATTATTATATTCACGGACCACATTAGCACTGTTCCATCCATTTCGAATTATAGAAAAGTTTTTATTGAGCATAGTGTGTTACACGTTACAATGGTAATTAATAATTAATAATCGTAATAATAAAGGTGAGATTAATCGATAATCAATGATATACCACTTATCTTGTTTTTTTTTTGTTTCAACAAATAAAAACTATTACGAGAAATGTTACACTTACAGAAGTGAAATAGATAGATAGATAGGTAGATAGATAGATAGATAGGTAAATAGATAGGTGGA